ACAGACAGACTGTGATGGTAAGAGGTATTCCACAATAAAAGTTTGAAATAGCGTTTTGTACTATTTTCAAAATGTAGGAGGTTTTCAACAGCAAGGACAAAAAGTAATGGATTTTTGTGCTGTTTAACCATAGAAAATTAGTATGAAAGAAAATGCAATTCGAAATTTTATGTATGGCCTCGTCGACAAGTCATTCAAATAAGGGTCACGACTCCGTTTCTTTTTTTTCTTTTTATTATTATTATTATTATTATTATTATTATTTGCACTACATTTTTTAAATATATTAATGAATTCAATACTTTCAATAACAAGTTGTAATTATTTGTTTGGTAATTTTTGTAGTACTTTATTAAATAAATAAATAAATTTTTAGATAAATAGATTGTTAAGAATAAAAAAAAATGAAGAAAATAATTAAACATTGTTCATTTGATGTAACTTTTGGTGTAATGGGTTGGAGATATTTTTTGGTGCAAGATTTAATGTAAAAGTCGGTGCACGGTTGGAGATGCTCTAACATGATAGGGAATTCCTTTCTTTTCTTTGTTCTACTTCTTTTATTCATTGAGAAAAACCTAATAAACAACGATAATGTCCTCTTCATCGTTCCATCTTGAATACCCGGCCTTTTAATTACAAAATTTGAACAAAATCGAGTTGATTGAGACTAACCCGATATCCCATTTTGTTGAAAATGAAATATCTAAACACAAGGGATATTTACTTATGAAATTGAGTTGAAGAGCTACACACCAAATCAAATCAAATCAAACCAAACCAAACCAAACCATGAAAAATACTACCCTCTTCTTATTCTCTTTTTCTAAAGGCCCAGTTGGGTGGCACTTCTAGAAACTTTTTGCTTGTTCATCAAAATTTAAGGTTTGGTATGGAAAACATCAACCAAAATTATATATAAAATCTTATTTTACATTTAACAAATTACGGGTGGACATGTAGAAGATGAAGGGATATTCAATAAAATTCAAGAAATTACTCGTCGATAGCTGATGAAGGGAGAGACTAGAGAGTGCATTAGAGAGGGAGACGACAAGGAAGAGATAAAGATGGGACACGGGTCTTGGGTACCGCTACTTTCATATTTGTGTTTATTATTATTTTAAAAAAATTGATTTAGATTTAAATATTAAAAAAATTCAACCTGGGTAGATTGGATCAGACCGGGTTGATGGGTAAAACCTAAATCGACCCACCTCCAAACCTCAAGGTACTCATAAATCGATCCAAACACTCCCAATGTCATGCAAAATATAGACAAATAATTATTTGTACCTATTTTTTATTTTATTTTATATTTTTGGTACTCAATCAATCTTAAATTATTGAATCATAATTATTGGATGAATAAACAATTATCTGTTCACGAATCACATCAAGTATACACTAATTGACAAGAAATAATAATTTACTCTTGGAATAAATTTAAAATGTGATGGAACAGTAGTCACTCCGTATTGTACTTTTAGTTTTACTTACAACGAATGAAAAAAAAAATTATATAAAATCATCATATAAATTCTAAAAATAAACAAAAATGTTGTTAACTTTCTTAAGCAGAATCAATTCTTTATAAGTTTAAGATATAGTGGAATAGGTGAGCACGGAAGCCTTTTGTCACAAGTTCGATTCCCTCCATCAACACATTTTCGATCGAACCTGTCGCACCGGAAGTGTTTAGTGTGATTTACCTAGTTGGCATAATTTGCATGCTGTTGTATCAGTCCGAGGGTTTATTTAGTGCGCACTCGAAAGTAGCAGCTGCGAGTTTTCCGTCATAAAAAAAAGAAAGAAAGATATAGGGTTATTTATTTCATTTTTTAGAAACCAAATTACTCTTTTGCTAAGGTGACGGATAATGATCGACTCTTTTTCTTAACTGAAAAGTTGATAAAAAAATTAATTTAAAGTCAATAATTAATTTTAATTACATATATAAGTAAAACGACTATTTTTATTAACTTTTAAACACCGTATTTAATCAACTTCCATATTACAAAAGATCAGATATTCATGGAAACAATCTGCTGATTCAAATTTCCGAGTCAAAGCAGTTGATGGTTTTTGAATGCTTTTGCATTTGTATTATTTTCAACATTTCTTTTTAACCTTCTTTCTATGAAATGAGCAGTCAAGCAGTTGAATCTCCCTCCAAAAATTACCAATAAAATTGCAAAATAAAAATTTTATTTTAACTAAGTTCTGAAGATTTATCTTCCTTCCGTCCTCATTAAATTTCCAATCCACCGTCACCTTTTAGTCTCTCTCTCTCTCTCTCTCTAAAAGTCCTCTATGATGCCTCAAGTTGATCTTGAAACCCTAAATGACACGAAAATGGTCAGTGAAACATTGGTAAAGGAAGATTTACCAAAGAATGAAGAGATCCCAGACGCTGGTGAAGACTCCGTTGACGTACCGCCGGAGCCGGACTATCCACCGGAATCTTTCTGGCTTTCGAAGGACGCAGAGTATGATTGGTTCGATCGCAACGCCGTTTACGAGCACAAAGAATCCATCAGAGGCAACTCAAATTCCACCAACTTGAACCCGAGTATCAACCCGAATTCGAACTCAAGTTCTCAACGGATCCCGGTTCATGTTAAATCCAGAGCATCGATTATTGGATTGCCCCAAACCCAGAAAACTACTTTTGTTGATTCTAAGAGAAGGTATTGTAAACAGACTAATATAAGGCTGTTTCCGAAGAGGTCAGAGTCGGTCGGGAAGACGGCCGACTCGGTGGTTGAGCCGTCATCGCCCAAGGTTTCTTGCATGGGAAGAGTTAGATCAAAACGTGGGAGGAGGAGGTCAAATTCGTTGAAAAAGTATGAAAAATCGGCGGAGAAAACAAGGATTAACGGAGAGAAACAAAAAACCGGGTTCTATTCTAAGCTAATGTGCGTCATTTTGTGCAGGAAGGATCATAACAAGCCGATCCGATCGAGGAGTCGACGAGTGGTGGTGGAGGAGACTGTAGCGGCAGTTGAGCCTCAAAGGAAAAGCGTGAGTGTAAAACTACGCGAGATCCCGGTAAGTGATGAACCGGTGGCTGAGCCGCCTGGTTTGGGAGGAGTAAAAAGGTTCGCGTCGGGCCGGAGGTCGGGATCTTGGACTGCCGAGGATTTAAATCAGGCGATATTGAAGTCGCTAGAGTTAGATCGGCGCGTGGCGCCCATGGGTGGAAGTTGATTACAGGGGGCGCTTAAAAGTCATATGTGGTAGTTGAAATAGGAGTTGTTGGATGATGTGGCAAGTTGATTAACTGTATTCCTCGTGGATCCGGGTGAGAACACGGACTCAAGTTTTTTTTTTTTTTTTTTTTTTTTTTTTGAGTATGGAATAGTGTAATTATGGGTATTTTGAAGTGAGCTTGTAAATTTATGGTTATCAATATTTTCTCATTCAGTGTTAAATATTGTACTTTTTTATTCACAATTTAAAACTTACATTTTTCTTTTTATAGTAATTGATTTCATTTTTGTATTTGCATAAATAATTCATTTGTTTTGTCTTTTACAATTCTGTCCGCAAGGCAGAAAGCAATTAACTGATGAAAGCAAGCCTCCCTTAGGCTTTCATTTTATTTTATTAAGAAAATTATTTTCAAGAAATGAGAAGTTGATAAGTGAGTAATATTAAATCTGAATATTTCAATATCCGAAATCATCTAATACACTTATGATATTCCGTAAATAAAATCGTTCGAATCTATGTAATTATTGAAATTGGAATATGAGCGGTTGGACTCCTTTACAATGTTGACTGCTGACTGGATCAGTGTTGAGTGTTGATTGGATTCCTGTTGACTGATTGTTTGGAGAACTAACGCAAAATTGTATTAGTGTATTTTTTGTAGGAATTTTGTTAATTGATTATTTGACTGTTAGAGATAAAGTGAATCCTATTTGTGAGAGAATAATTTAAAAATAACGGTTGAAATAATGAAATAAAGGTCAAAATTTTGATATTAATTGTATTAAAATCTCTACCAAACTTGCTCTAACACTTGATTTGATGCAATAAAAATTAGGGGAATTCCCCGTCATAAAAAAATAAATAAATAAAAATTAGGGGAATTTTCATAAATGTCACTAAATTGAAAATTAAAAAAAAATCACTAAAGATGCTAAAAAATGTCACATTTTATGTGAAATGTCCAGATTATCCTTAATGACACATTTTTAGGGGCATTTAATGCTTGATTTAAATGACATTAATGTTATGATGTGATGATTTAATTTGTATATTATAAACATTGAATATATGATTATTATGCTAGGTAATATGAATTTTGGTAAAAAAAAAATAAAAAATAAAAATTAAATAAAAGAATTTGAAAAGTTAATATAAATTTCATATCTTCTTACAATAACTTATTATCCATCTTCTTTATTCTTTCATGAACAAGAAGTTAGCTATTGGAAAATGTTTATATTTTTTTCTTATAACTCATTATTTTGTAAATATTAAATACATGGTTATATTTATTTATATTTTTGGAAACTTTTATTGATTAATTTGTTTGATTTTTGAAGGGTAAAAATACTAATGTCATTTACAAAATATGAAGGATTTTAGATTTAATGGAGCATTGAATTATTTATTTTTGGGACCTTGCTACGTGTATATCAAGTTTTACATAATGAATTACATAATACCACGTGTCACTCTACCGTTTGCTAATTTATAACACAATCAACTTTTTCATCCAATCTTTTTCCTCCATAACATATCATGTAATCCATTATGTATATTTTTTTATGTATAAGTAGCAAAATCCTTATTTTTGAGAAGATGTTATGATGTTGTAGTTTAGAATTTATTATGATCATTAATGGTTTCAATAATTTCTTTCAAGATACCAAATATATGTTTCCAATCTTCCCGACAATTTCGACAGTTCAACTGTCAAATAGTTCATTTCAAACCGTTAGATTAGATATCATAACTGTCGAACTCGACATTTAAAAACTGCTGGGATAAACAATTAAATTGTCGAATTTAACACTTGAAAACTGTTGAAATCCTTGATTTACTTTTTGCTATTGCATGTATTTAAATATTGGAAAATTTCACTTTCATGGTATTGAATGTCGATTTATTAATTGTGCAGAATTCTTATCGTTACAATCTCAACTTTTCAATTATTAGTAATCATTTGAGATTCATCATATCGCATAAGAAAGTTTGTTCATCTGAAAGACGAATGAAAGTGGAGAGCGAACAAAACCACCACCTTCATTTTAGTTCTGACAAGTATTACCCTATTCACTCGCTGTAGTAGAGTTGACCATAATCGGATCACGTGTTCCAATCTCATACTAACACAATTCATGTAAATAGGCTTGATATCCGAAAGTAGTTGAAGTTGTATTTTAAATGTTCCTCCGATAGCGTTGTACATTCTGAAATTATATTGTCATTTTTATTTTATTATAGTTGGCAGAAATTAGTCATGTTTAAGTTCACAAGGAAAATAACCATCCTGACAAAAGGTTTCTGTCATTCTCGACGAATGGTTGCAAAGTAAAAAAATTGACTACAAATAAGATGTATAAGGAACATGCTATTCTTGAGCATATTCTCAACTTACATTGTCATTTTCAACTTACATTATCATTATCATTTCATTTTTGTTGCAGACATTGTATAATTATAATACATAATTTAGTATATAGATGTACACAATTATAGCCCACTTCAATCGTTGTCAACTTTTGAATGTTACCCTCACCGTCTTCATCAAAATCATCCGAGCTTATGACAGTTATCTTGGGAAATAGAAAGTTTGCCAATGACTCATCATCGTTGTATTCATCTTCAAATCAAACTTTGAACTTGAACACATCATCAAGTACATCGGTGCAGTGATTGTGATGCTTTACTTGAAATTTTGTCTTGGTTGGGAAAGGAACGATAGAAATGGCTCTCCTACCATTTGGAGGCTCGACTTCCTCATCATTCGAAGAAATTATGATGGAAAGTAAACAATTCACTTAAAAGATTCAGTAACCATGCCTAACTTAGAAAAATGTAATAAACAAAGTAAGTTGGAATGACAAGTATAATACAACAATCAACTTCCACAAACCAAACAAATTCATTGAAATATGAAGTAAAAATTTGACAGAACTTGAAATATTTCTCTAGAAAAATATAAAAAGAAATTTCATATATAACACACCATAGAACATAGAAAAAAATCAAAATCCCCAAACTAACTCACAATCTAAATGTAAGGAATTTAAAATTGATGGTGCAATCTAAGAAAAAATAAAAAATAGGAACATTAGTAAAAAAAACTTGAAACAAAACCTTCAACATATCGAAAAAGAAACGTACATATTCGAAACCTTACCTAAGATAATTTTCTTTCTTTTGTATTGACGTAATAAACGAGATCTCAACGCAAGAACTAGCACTCCATATAGTTTTCAAAGCTTCGAGGGAGGAAATATAGAAAAGAGGAAAGGAGAAATTTTTGCAATGGTTGTGTGGGGAAGTATAGTAGGTGATTGAATTAAAAAAAAAAAATTACATGGGCAAAGAAAACGTATTGGAGAGAGAAAACTGAATGAGTTGATAATTAATAAATTTTGTTCTTTATATATATAGTGATTTTGAAATACCACTGTGAAATAATTGACTGTCACATTTTTTTTTCCAATTTTTGTACATTTTTTTATGTTGTCAACTCAAGGACGGGTAGTGTATTCAAATTATTATTATTATTATTATTTTATTTTTTTTTTGGGGAGGAGGAGGCAAAAATGTCCAAAAATGACAATCTTGCAAAAAATTTTAAAAAGTGACATTTTTGAAAATGTAAATCCAAAAATTGACGTAGAGTGCAATTTCCTCTAAAAATTGTAGTGTTAATAGCTAGAAGAAATAAAAGAAATAACATATATCACCAAATATATATATATATATATATATATATATATATATATATATATCAACACTGTCTTAATCACTTCAAATATGCTTTTCCAATAAATTTCGAGTATTAAAATTCAGAAATCATTACAAATTGTATTTTTGAAAAATACAAGTGGATTGATATCTTCTTGTAACTGTAGGATTGCGAAATTCTTTGATTAATGATCTGAATATTTGAAGACGGGGAACCACGTGGCTTCAATCCTAGACTTCGAGATTTGTTGAGAACTTGGTTTGATCGACACTTGAATTTTGGGGCTTGGATCTGCACTTCAAGACTTGGACTTGAATTTGATTTGAAGAAGACTTTGATAATTTTGAACTTGGCTTGGACTTGCTTGATTTGAAGAAAACTTTAACTTTCCTGGCATTTGCTGGACTCAGGCTTGAGAGAGTTTCTTCCCTTCCTTCGGCTTTGGAGTTTTTTGGGCACTTTGTGGATTTTTCCTCTGCACTTGTCTAATTTTATAGACCTTTGATCCTATTTATATGAAAAATTTGTAACCAATTAGGTAACCACCCAATTATCTTTAATTAACAAAGAATAATTGAATAATTGTAGACCTTGAAAAAAATAAGATGGGTCTTAGTAGACTTTAATTTAATAAACTTAATCGGGCTATAATTAATTATTTTTTTTCCATTTTTTTTTTTTTTTTTTTTTTTTTTTTTTATGTCTACAATGCTACAAAATGGTATCAAACAAATTCCAACGTTGGCTCTGCATGCAGCATTTCAAGAAAGTTGTGGGGGGCGAACTTCGCTTAAAGTACAGTCAGACGTAGCTGCGAACGAGAATTACATTCAACTGGTCAAATGTATCTGATTGATCATAGTATCTACTACTTGAGGCTTACAAACTTTCTATTTATTAGACTTTGTAAAATTGTTTGGACAGTGACATTGGATTTGGGTGGATAAATGCAGTAGTTGCGGGTGTTTAAAAACCTAAACTGAGGCAAAGAAATAGATGGAGGATTGAGCTTTGTGAATGAACGTAATTGAAATAAGTTGTGAGTTGTCCTTTTGATTCAGTAATTAACTAAAAGAGTTTAAATATGTAAATGTGAAGTTCACATGCTGCTAACTGATATAGAAACATATATGCAATGTTTATTTATTTATAAATATTTAATTAGAGAGTTAATATTAATCGGCGATAAAGGGAATAAACTAAACTGAGTTATTAGCTTAAAAATCATGTGAAATAAAGTAATTATCTAAATGAACGTAGAGCGGGAACAATACTTAGGAAATTAATTTAGTTCACATCTGTTCTGTGAGATTGCACAATTATTTACATGTGCTTTTAATTAATTGGGAGAGAATCAGGAAATACAAAGATTGTTTACGTGGATATTAATTGAGAGACAGGAAGTACACAGAACGTAGACCTCAACCAGAAACATTGTTAAGAGCTTGACACATTTATAGGCTACTTGCGTGATCTAGATTACTCTACAAATAATGTTTGGCACCGTGAACGTGTTTTTTTACGTACTAGCAAGTTCTCTACATAAGACAAGTATAAACCGTCACATGTACGATTTTTAAATGCCTCCTGAGTGGCTCGTAATCATTTTCATCCAATGAAAACAGCCCATCACACAACTTTCACCGAGTAGATTTACGTATACAAGAGATGTTTCAACACCATCTACATGTTTCTTACGTACCACAAAGTTCTCTTCATAAGACGAGTATAAACCATCATATATGCGACTTACAAGTGCCTCCTGAGCCACTCATAATCATTTTCAGCCAATGAAAACAGCCCATCACACAACTTTCACCAAGAAGATCTACGAATACACCATCTACATGTTTCTTATGCACCACAAAGTTCTCTTTATAAGACAAGTATAAACCATCATATGGGCAATTTACAAGTCAAGTCTCTTCCCGAGCCACTCATAATCACTTTCAGCCAATGAAAACAGCCCATCATAAAACTTTCACTAAAAAGATTTACGTATACAAATGATGTTCGACACCATCTACATGTTTCTTATGCACCAGAAAGTTCTCTTTACAAGAGATTTTCATAAATATTTGTTCTTCCTCAAGCATCTTGTATCATACAACAGGTAAATTTCCATAACCAGAATCATAAATTAGTATTCAACGAGCAGCATTCAAATGATTATAGAAAGCCTCGCCTATTAAAGAGCGTAAGTTGCACGTAGATATTCAATGATTTCTGCACTCTCAAACATTTGGATTCCAGTGTTCGGATCTTCTAAATAAGGAACCTGCCAAACATTAGCAAGAACGATCATGTTTTCTCACTATTGGTGGACATCTAATATATATACTTAAATTTTTAAAATGATTTTTCATGAAAACAAACACCAACCTGAAAATGTCCTACTTTCTGCTTTAGTATATGTCTTTTTGGGCTGCCACGTGCACAGCTGCAATAGGAAACTCATTAAATAAATACTGGGGTGAATGCTTTTCCGCGCTTAAAGAAAATATTAGCTAATTCTTTCATTTTAATTCACGCATTGTAGAAATTATTCACATATGAAAAATAGATATTCAACTTCCAAGGTTCTGGAACACGATTTTTCGTGATCATGACCCATTTGGCCAAATTACATGAATAAACTAGCAACAATATTCCTTACTCACTTAAACTTGACCATTTCTAAAGATTTCCTCTTCAATCTTTCATTGAGATTATTTAGCCTCTGTTTGGCAAATTTATAAATTGTTTACAAATAGGAATAGTGGGTCTCACAAAATGTGTGGATAATAATCAGGTATTAATTATGAATGTGTGGTTAAAATTAATGTTTGTTGATGATGACTAAGTTTAATAGTTTATACACCATTTATAAATTCGTATCCAAACGGAGGCTCAATTTTAACAATTCTTGTCAAACCTTCAGTTTCCTTCACAACTTCTCCACCAAGTGAGACGACACGGAATAGAGAAGATAAGACATAGGCAAATATATACTTACTGCACATATATATAGCTTGCCCCGTTTTACAAATTAGCATTTACATTCTCTAATTTGCAATTTCTGCCATAAAGGAGAAGTCACGAGTTATAGAATACTACTACATTAATTCTTTAAAACTTGTTGCAAATACTCCAATACTTGCCCTAATGCATGATCACGTCATCCAAAACTTAGCCTCTAAACGAGAGATTTAAACATTTATGTTTTTAATTCTAAATTTCTCTCTTATGTGCGTGCCAGCTTCATTTTCTCAAGTCCTAGCATGTGCAATTGTTAAGACATAAAGTAGTTCTTCAGTAAGGGATCAAAGTTATTTCATTTGTAAAACACAAGTGGAGTTGCATAGATATAAATTTGTAGGGATTCGACTGTCAGTCATAGACATGGCATGATTTGTAAATATGTCTAATTCTAAATACGCCTGTAGTTGACTGCTTTCCTTAGTTAGATATGTAAGCTATAAATGGTTTATTAGCTGCTATACTTAGATATGTTAGCTGTTGATGGCTGAAAATCAGCCACAAATTAGTCCCAATTTAGTTTGTAATCAGCATTTAATGATAAATAACTACAAGTGACGGAGATACAAGATTTAAATAACGGAAAATCCAATATTTTAAAATAGTATTGAGAATGACTGGAAAAGTGGAAACAAGACCATATATAATTTTGATCCATTTTGCAAGTGTGTCATTGCGGGTAGTTCCTACAAAGGATCGAATAAATGACGTATACAATACTTGAATTCTTGATGTAGATGCTACATAGGTGGAGAGCGCAGTACAATTGCGTTCGGGAAGGATGAATCGCTCCCTCTAGGGAGGGGCATCATGATTCAAACACTGTACCTATGGGATAGGGATAGACGAAGAGGAAAAAACCTGTATTGAGGATTGATTCTCTATATAAATGAAGGAACTCTCTAAAGGAGAGACATTTAGCATAAATGACATGGAACCAGAGCCAATTCCTTAGAATTTTTCTCATTTTCTTGGTGGGTTTTCTCATAATGAGGAGCAAAATCTTGTCATGTTAAGTCAAGACTTGGTATTCTGATAGTTTTCCTAGTTTGTTTTGGATTCTAAGAGGAGGATCATCTTTGAGTTTTTGATGTAGATTGTTCAATGAGATTATTTTCCAACTGCAGCATCTTGGTCAGTGATATATTATTAGATTTTTGATTAGTACATTTATCGTTAGAGCTTTTATTGGAGCACGAATTATGTATTTGAATGAGTTCTCGCAACTGATAAAACTCATTGTGTGTGGTTGGCACACTTCGTAAATTTCTTTAGGAAATTCTTCTTTAAAATATGAGCTCTCTGGAGTGACTCTGAAGTGTTCTCAAAGTGGTTATTACTATTTCTGCACTATTTGTTGTTATTGGGTCTCTCGTCGTAACTATTTTTTATAGATGGTTGCTGTGATTTGGATCTTTCTTCGTGGGCACGAGCATTGTCACTGCCAACAATTCATGATTGCAAATCGATGCTTTCACCAACATTAATTTGAGGGGGAATGAATGTCAGTACGACATGATTCATATATATATGGCATGATTTGTAAATGTCTGATTCTATATATATGCCTTTAATTAACTACTTTCCATAGTTAGACATGTAAGCTATTAATGGCTGATTAGCTGCCTTCCTCAGTTAGATATGTCAGCTGTAGATGGGTGAAAATCGGCCCCAAATTAGGCACAATTTAGCTTGTAATCAGCATTGTATTGAGAATTGATTCTCTACATAAATGAAGTAACTCTCTAAAGGAGAGACATTCAGCAAAAATAACACTGTCTACAGCATTGACAGAGGGAAATTACCTGTGAAGTAGGTGAGGTAACTCCAACTCTACAAGTACTTCACGTACAACTTTGCAGAAAGGCGAAGCCTGAACAGAAAATCAATGTCATTATCCGCAGGAAAAATATTCTAATTCCTTGGATTAGACAGATAGTGCTAAATAAAAAAAAAGCTCAAATTTTGTTCATTGTACATTCCATTATGATCAAATGCTACGTACCAAACATGCACTTAAAGCATGTTAATAATGAGCCAAATGATTTGATTTAATCTTTGAATATAGCAACACAGAGAGAAATCTATTTATCTACACAAGTAATCTGTCATCTTATAATCTGCAAAATAGCCATAATCTAACCTCATATGCCCATATATCAAGAGGCTTGGACGGCAATTTTGATGGAACATAGGAACTACCCTGCCAAACAACAGTAGGAAGTGCAAATCTATATTATGGTGAATAGGAAAAAATTAAATTTAATCTATAGTGCTAAGATCGTTGAGTTTGTATGTTTTATTAAATGAATTATGCGATGTAACTTGAAAATTTTGTGCGTGAACACGCGCACATGCATGTTTATGCATATGTATGCAGAATTGTACACAGTCATGTACATGTAAAAATGCAGTTGTACATATAAATAGATTTATAAAAGTACATGTGTTTATATATACAAGAATGCATGTGCAAATACATGCACACAGACACATGCACAGGGAGAGGACACCGAGACAGAGACTATACCTTCCCCATGCGACCAATCATGGCAAAACCTTCGGTCAAGGTCTGTGAGAAAAGAAGTCGGCAGGCAACAAATCAAAATTATGCATGTAGGTACTCTTCCAATTAATTTAATATAGTGAAACCAAGATTTTATTGCTTACAGTCAGTAGTCCTAGAGACAACATAATTGGAACCTTTCCGTCACCTACAGAAAAGGAAGTCAATGATAACACTATTGTGTATCTGCAGGATACAGAACAAGATAATAACAAACGAGAAGCAATCCAAAGCCAATAAATTCATTAAAATGTTTAATCCAAAGGTAACCATTTTGAGGTTAACATCTTAGAATACAGATACCCCTTTGATTTTAGAAAATCCCAGAATATCATAACAAAATGAATCACTAAGGGCTATCGTAAAATAATTCAACATTTGTGCATGGAAATGTATGTTCAGCAAAAGTAATGGTAGCAAATACATAATAAAATGAAAGCGGAAAATAGCAGATTGAAGTTACAAACCATATTTCTGAACTAAGTACTTGATGATGTCATCTGATTCGTACATGGAAACTCCTGTGTTTGGATCAACCTGAAACAAGAAACATAAGTTTTAGCTCCATTTTAAAATTTACCAAAGATCAAGAATTAATTAAAACTTCACTAATTATAAAGGAGGATATCAGAAACTTCACAAATAAGCAAGCTTCAACAAATAATCCTTTTGAGAGAGTATTTTATCGATTCAGAGAAACAGGATTTAGAAGATATTGATACTATACAGATACAAACAAAATCACTTCAATTTCCATCACACTTTCTTGACTCCAATTCATGCAGTATCTAACCATGTAAGGGAACTGCTTTTTTCCACCCATCTGTACAGCCCTGGGACGAAAATTTGGGCCATTTTTTGGACAAGGATAGAACAACACGTCAAGGTCCAAGAATGCAACAATTTCCCGAACCTGTAATAACATAAATTTTCAAAACATATTACGAGACGTACATAAAGGAATGATTTGCAACATGCTGCAACTAAATAGTCTAATATGCTCATAAACGAGCGCAAAAGGTCCATTAGATTCTACGCCTTCCCAAAATAACCATAGTCGAGTGATGTTTTCCCTACGAAAAATGTCATCCCATAGTCTATGGTCAAGATAATAATTTAAGAACTAAAATTTTGCTGGCATTACCTTCCGACAAAAGGGGCAGCTGAAGAAGATTCCATGCATTCCACAATAATCCATTTTTGAAGAGAGCAACATATGTTTTTAGTCTTTGTTCAAGAAGTACCACAGGATATAATAGGGAAAACAAAAAAGCATAATGACCTAAATTAAAATCAACAACTGAGAAGAAAAGATTCAGAAAAACCTTTCAAACTCATATATTTCAATTGGTTTCTCAGGGCGTGGACCTAATTTTGAAGTCTCTTTCAACTTAAAACCTGTATAAAAATGGAGCTCCTGAGAAGCATATATCAAAAGGCTACTTTGCAAAAGCAAACAGAACATCAAATGTGCAACCCGCATCAGACAAAAGCAAAGTTGAATTACATTTGACCAGTTTTAAGAAGTCAAATACAACGAACTTATTTCGACTTCGACGTCTTAGATTATATACATTATACATATTTCACTACATTTTGATTACCATAGTATTCTATTTTAACATCATATAAAGTGCAACCAGTTTATACTGAAATCAATCCACCAGTACACTGATTAATACTATATGTTTCAGATTTGAACTTATCCAAGTGTCATGATTCACAAGTAGACCCCAGATGATAGTGTTTAGGTTGCATAAATAATGATTACTACTTTTTGATAATACGGCACAAATAAATTCATGTGAGATAAACATTAAACAAATATCTGGCAATTACCTGCAAATTCAAGAGCATACTCTTCGGATGGAATCTCATTCTTGGGAACAAAAGATGCTGAATACCTGCCATTTATGAATTATAAAAAAAATTAAGAGGGATGGGAATTCATGAAACATAGTAACTGGAAAGCCTCCAAATCCACAGTACAGACAAGTCGAGCTGTCATTTTTGGATTAACAAGCTTCACATGTAATACTATCCAGATAGGCAAATAATATAGTGAGTACTAAAACACCAGAACTGATAACCACAAGCTGATCACTGGTTTAATGCAGTTTTATCACGAGTTATGTCGGGTAGTTTTATCCTTGATACCATTGAAAATCTGAAAAATGAGCTAAACAATTAGCTTAAATGCTATTTTGCTGAGTCGTATTCTGAGTTAAGAACATCACATTATCGATTCCCCATCTCCTAATTTATTCTTCACCTATCTTAATCATCACTTAAATCTTGGAATTACATCTTTTTAGCAAATTATTCAAATCCTTTCTTCTGGACCCTACTATCTCATCCCTTGAAACCAACTCCAAGGAGATATGGATAGAAGAGCATATAACTCAATGATGATTTTATAGAAATCCAAGAAATTCACTCAAAGGGATTCATATTTCTTAAGTTCTATTGCAGCCTCAAAATATACCCCCTAAATCATCAAGAGCACAAGAAATTTGTAGCAAGAGGCAAAGTATCCAAGGAGGTACATATTTGAATGAGGGAGGTTTTTAAAAACCCTTAATTTAGAAAGAGAGGGATGAAGAGTTGTTAATGCATGTATCCTAAAATTGAATGACAATGAGTGGACACGCTATAAAAACTGATATCCTAGTTTGGGATAGTTTTACATCCCAAGAGGCTCAAATACTTTGCTCAGATGAGACCCCTACTTGCATGTAAAATGATGAATCAACTTATAATTAACGCGTTATACTAATATTAACCAGCTAGGCACGTTATCCTAATATTAACCAGTTAGGATCCTTTGAAAGCTTTAAATAAGAATATGATTAAGCTTTTGACGTACCTTTTCAATGAATTGACAATTGAAATCCAATTTTTCCTCCCACTATATTAACTTGAAAGTTAATTTAGATTAAATTAATTCATATGATACATCTCAATATGGAATTCACCTTCTCTTGTGTGCAATGCTTTTAAAGTATTTCAGTTGATAGTGTATTTACGAAATTCCAACAATTTTTATGGACAATCCTATTGACTCTCGCCCAAAATCTGCATTACTATGCTTTGCATTTCAATTTTAACATAAATAATTAAACACTATAGAAACACAAATAATTAAATATAATCATATTTGCGTGTTTTTACTTGTATGGGTTCTATAGAAACATGTAAATAATAAAATTTTACTCAAATTTCTTGTAAGACAAACACAGTGAAACCGTACCCAGAAACGAGAACACTGGTAGTAAGGCGAAAAACCAAGGCAAGAGAAGCCCCCAAAATGTCAAGCACCTTATCGGGCCGGACTGAAAAGGGCTTGGGCTTCGGAGGCTTGAAGTTAGGAGGCGGTGACAAGGAGGAACCCGAACTGGTTTCCTCTTTGATGCTTACAGAGGTAGAAGCCACAGGGATTTCTGAAGAATTTGTTGATGATTGTACAAAAAACACTCTTTTGTTGGATAATTTACGAGTCGAAAGTGGCCTGAAAATCGAAGTCGGAGTAAAATTCAAAGCCCCGGCCATCATTTTCCAGCGAGAAAAACGGCAGATATGATGGTCTTGGATTATTATTTTCAGATGGCACTTATTTGTGTACTAGTAACTGTGGCTATGAAACGGCCAAGTAATCCAGACAGTTAATAGGAATCTTCCACTTTTTTGAAGCAGAAATAACTTGTTCTGTTTATCTTACCAACGTGCAAAAAATATTATTTCAATAGTGCAAAAATGTTCTCTTACATACAAGGTGAGAAGTTTTACATTGCTCACTTGAAGTAAATTGTAAGTAAGATTTTGCTGCCATATCAATAAGTGAACAGTTTTATCTTGTCCATCGTGAATAGGAGAACAATTTCGTTCAACAGAGATAATTATAAACTTCTTTCAAAAAAAAATTTTGAAAAAAATTACGTCCGTTAACGTAGCGAATTAACGGTTTAAAAATTCTGTACAGAGAAGGGCACTTCGTTAGGAAAGATTTTGGCCTTCTCCATGCCAAGGTCATGAATTTTGTCATTACCATTCAAAGTCAGATTGATTGCTTGTCTTGCTAGTACGAGTCAAGGTACTCTTGTAATAGTTATTATTTGAGCGTCGAATATCTTGAACTCAAGGGTTTTGACGGCAAGAACGATACCAAAGAAGTTGAGAAAACCTTATGAATGCAAAAAAAGTAAAATCCTTCCTAATAGAGAGATTATTGGAGAGGAGACAAAACTCAGTACTTTTCACTACAAAATCGATAAAATCGATAAAAAAAATGGATTAATTTATCAAAGTATGGGTTAATATCGAAGTGTTTTTTTTATTTGTTTTAATACTTGTGAATAAATTCACTGTATCATATTTAGATACATTGCATAAATTGTTCTTTTTCATTAATGTTATAACTCGCACGGATTAATGTAATAAGGTATATGTTAGAAATTATTAAACATGGCAAAATTGGTTTTCTATCTTGTGGTTAGCTAAATGAGCAAAATCTTGGCTGCGATCAGTTTTTTGCCAGTTTAGCCCACGTGTGCCAATTTCTCCCAGACAACATAGATATGGTAAGAAGTTCCCAGAATTGGACTAAAATTCCGATTTTGGGCTAGCTGACACAGATACCCCCCAAACCCAAATCAAGAATCCATTACTCTTCTTGTTCATATTCTCAATTTATAACTCGTGCAAAGTTCAGCAGAAAAGTTGTATCATACATAAAATGATATTTTATTAAAATCTTTTATAATAGCAAGCTTTATAAATTGAAATCGATCTTGTGAAGAAATAAAATGGGTAAAAACAAGAAATGATGGAAAAGCTCTCTACAAAATGGCGAAAATCTCGTCAATCATCTCAGTTCGACGATGATGACAACACTACGTAATGGACTCTTAATTGTTTTATATATATATTATATGCATATAGACGGAGGTTAATTAGGGTTTAACAAAACTTGCCAACAATTGGATTTTCAATATTTGCACGCTTTTATTGTTCGAAATGTTGATCGTTCTAATAATAACACTATTTTCGGTACCATTAAGAATCGTTGAATGAGACATTACGATATCACTTTTTCAAAGTGTTACAACATTAATTTGAGTTTTGTGAATATAACTTGTTAGAGATTCTTTACATAGTAGAAATTAGTAAAATATAGTTTGTCGGTAAAAATTGACTTAAAGGTGTTTGGCGATGAACGGAGAAAGAGGAGGGACCATGGTCGTGTCACTTTTATGTCACTATTGAACTAATTCCAATGTTTTAATCGGTGTTTTGTCACTTTTTTTTAGTATTTGTCACTTGTTTAGTGTTTATCGCTATTTTTTTATTTTTTATTTTCAATCACCTTTATGAAATTTTTATCACTTTTTTGAGTGAGAAACATGACTTTTAGTGACACCGTGCCACTTTTTATAAAAAAATTGAATTAAAAAGTCACATTTATATTTAAAAAAATGACATCGTGTCAAAAAATGACTTAATTTTATAAAGTATTTTTACTTTTAAAATATTTTTTATATGATTTTTCAAAAGACCCCTAATTTTTAATAAAAGTGACATTGTTTGTAATTTTTTTAATAAAAAAGTGATACTAAACTTTTAAAAGTGACATTGTGTCGCTTTTTAATTTTACACAATATTTTTTACTTCAAAAAAGCTTTTCATATCATTTTTCAAAACACCCCTAATTTTAAAGGTATTTTTGTAAGTTTGCCCGAATTTGAATATGTGATTGATAGAACTTAAATGGGTCAACACTTAGGTCTAGCATCGAATTAATTAAAAATTGAAATACAGATATATTAAAAATAGAGAAAATTTCATAAGTGAGAACTTAACTATGACTCATTTCAAAACTAAAATAAAATATTTAAAACTTCAAAAATCAGATATTTATTAAATTTTATTTCTAAAATAATTAATTAAAAGTATATTTTATAAATTAAATAATGTCACAATTCTATAAAATTTGATAACAAATTATTGAATTAATTGGATACAAATAATCTATCGACTACAATTAAAAATTTAATGGGTCATAAATTATTTCAAGGTTACAAATTTATTAAATTAATAGGTCACATATTATTCATTGATTATAAATTACAAATTTTATAAATCACAACTTATTTCATGGTTACAAAATACCAAATTAATTGTCCATAAATTATGTTTAGGTAACAAATTATTGGTCACAAATTAAAAAATTTTTAGGCCACATATTATTTATTGGTCACAATTTATCTATTTCATTGGCTATATATTGTTTATTAGTCACGCATTAACCAAATTTATTGGTCACAAACAATCAAATCATTTGTGGCCACTATCTCACCACTACCACCAGTTGTATCGCTGCTCAAACCATCGTCCCCAGAACCACCACCACCATCTCAAACACCGCAACCAAACATCACTAGCCTGCCACTACACAACCACAATCCCCACTGAAAAAATCTCCAAATCTACCATTGGACACTACCACTATCTCTCGTATCAACAATAACTATCACACTGCCATCATCGTTGCAACAACCACAACACCACCGCACACAACCATATCACCACCACAGTAACCATGATAGCACCGCCAGAGCCACCGCCACGCCTCAACACTACTGTATCGCCACCATAACAATAGCACTGTCCCACCACCATACTCATATCACGTAACCATCTCACCACATGCACATAGCAATACAACCACCACAATAGCAAAATCTACACACCATAACCACCATAGTACCACAATACCAACATCGAACCGTCAATCACGACATCGCTCAAAAATTTAAAGAAGGGAAGAAAAAGAATGGATTTGCATCAGGTCGTGTGCATAGTGGGCCAGACGGTGCTGTTGGCACCGCTGGAGAGAGAAGGAAGAAGTGGGTTGTGATTTGTAGTTTTGGGATTTTTAGGTTTGGGTAGGTATGATTTAGAGCGAGAAGATAGATGACATTGAATATTGTTAGTGTCTAACTTTTGTATAAACAAACTTTAGATCTAATTTTTGAAACTGGATCTTGAAAGATCTAACAAGGTGTATTTTTCACTTAAAAAAATATAATGTTACAAAATGGTCGCTATATTGACCCGATATTAATATATAAATATATCATAATTTAATTGGATTAAAAGTTTCTGTGTTATTTATTATCATGCTTGTGTCCTAACTTTTCATTAAAGCTTTCTTATCCTTAATTTCAAATTAATTAGTATATCATGTACCTAATGACGGTTTTCATCAAAAAAATTATGCTAGATTTAAAATAAGGACTTAGTTATAGTTTTATATTTAATGTTTTTTTTTCTTATATTAAAAATACAAAGATAAATAAGTTTTTTTATCTCTAACAAAATTTTCAAACGAAAACTCTCACCAACGACTAGATATGTTAATTAATGAAATATTGATGATAAACATGGGATGAAAAAAATGACATAAATTGACAATGAATAAAAGTTATGGACCTCTCACACAATTAAAATATGATGAATTTATAAAAAAAATATGGTATCAATATATTTAGCCTTTTACAAATCGTGTATCACGAAGTGTCATAGGGATTGCTCTTGGAGTTGGAGGAAGATTCTTGGACTCCGAGATATAAGGAGAGACAAATTGAAATACAGAATTGGTAATGGTAGACGTGTTGCGCTTTGGCATGATAATTGGCATCCTTTTGGCCCCTTAGAGAAGATTCTTGGTGAGAGGATCATTCGTGAATCCAGATTGAGCAGACTAGCTAAGGTGACTGATATTGTTGAGGATAATACTTGGAGGTGGCCATCAGTTCATTTCTCAGCTTTGTCTAACTTGATGTGAGATACGCTTGATACCTTTCGACCGAATAGTAATAGAGAGGATGTATTGCGATGGGTGGATGATGTGCATGGAGTCTTTTCTATTCAGAATGCTTGGGAGTCTCTTCGACTCCACTGCCCTAGGGTGACTTGGTATCACATTGTATGGTTTCCTAAATATATTCCACTTCATGCATTTATCCTTTGGTTAGCAATTCTAGGTGGCATCTACACACAGACATAGCTTCTTCGCTTTGGTTTGGCACAGTCTATATGTTGTGTGTTGTGTAGTTGTTCAGTAGAGGATTTGGATCATCTGTTTTTTGCTTACCCATTTTTTGAGCATGTTTGGCATGCTCTGCATGCAAAATGTAACTTGCCTTGGGTTCTACGGAGTTGGGTAGATACTCTTTCTTGGATGGAGCATTTTTGTGGGAGGTCAATGCAATTCATCATCATTCGGTTAATGTTTGCGACTTAGATTTATGCTATATGGAGTGAGCGCAATGCTAGGACCCATGGTGAGGCTCCTGAACACGAGCCTGCTGTTATTCGAGATATTGTTTTTTTATGTTTGTGCACGAGTAAATTTATGTAAGGGCTTGGTCCTATCTAACGAGAATAGATGGCTCCAACGTTCATGGGGTTTTTCTACGGATATTTTTTATTGTCGTTAGGATATGAGCACTAATCTAGGGTTCTGTTATTGGTGTTAGGAGACATACATTCCTAGCCTAGTTTCCTGGGGTATGCCCCTGTGATTTGTACTTTATTTTTACACTTTGGATATAATACACTTACCTTATCCAAAAAAATAAATAAATCGTGTATCACTCTAAGAACCTTAAAATAGTCCTTTGAATCCCTTTCCTCTCTGCTTTTTCTCTCGA